ATTGTTCGGATACATTTTTAATTTCGTTGTTCTTTCTTCAGACATGATGTAATTTTAAATAATGTCGCCTGCTCGGGGAAATTTACAATTCTGTGACAATGTAATGAGACACGAGAAGGTAGAAAAAACTATGATGGAAGATGAGACGCTGGTTCATCATGGACCGTATTTAAGACGAAAATGCAGATGTGCCTTCAGCCTGCATTGATTTAAATGGCAAATAAATCTGGTGATAAAGTTCTACAATTCACTTATTTATCCAACGTCAGAGAGTAAAGAACAACACAAGCAAGGATCCAGAGAGGAGGAGACAAAGTCACAAAGTGCAAACACACAGCTTTCAGTCTGATTGGACAGACAGGTGCTGACAGTCTAGCCGATACAAATCTAGCGCTGGCTTTGGCTGACAATTTTGCATTTGCTGAACTTTTGTTTGTTTCTGGCTCCACGTCTATTTATATTTGATTTGGTCACTTCTGGCTAAAAAACAGACAAAACAAGATTGTAACAGTGAAAAGACTAATCCCTTCAAAGAGGTAGTCCTCTCATCTAACCTCATCATCCTGCTCTTGCAGTCGATGTAGAAAACATAGCCGTTGTAAACGACGGCATGTGCAGCTCTGTCTTTTTTTATCAAACCAGAAGTTTGAGGAATATGAAGGAACTCATTTTCCTTTAACGAGTCAATAATGACCTGAATATGCTAATTTCATCCAATCAGTTTTTCTTCTTTCCTCACAAAACCGTGTGTGTAAATGTGTAGTTGTGTAGTAGATTCCTGAACCACAACACAGTAGCTGCTAATGAGGGCCCAGGGGAGGACCAGAGAGAGAGAGAGAGAGAGAGAGAGAGAGAGAGAGAGAGAGAGAGAGAGAGGCGAGAGATGGAGAGAGAGGGGGGGATGGGGGTGTTCCACATTATCCTCATAATCAAGGTCCCCATTCACACCCTGCACTGCTCCTGTTGTTACAGCGTCAGGAAATGATCATCCTTCTGACTTCTTCTCGCCAACTAATTATCTTTTGTCCTGTTTCTCAGAATATGAAAAGACATTACCTTGGAAGATAATTAAATATGAAACCCCAGGACGTGTAGATATTACTGAGACCTCTTCTACAATATACATTTTTGAATGTCTCTTAGAAGCCAAACGTACAACACGCTGTTTACTGGAGTTAATAAAACCTAAAGGCAATCACTTTGTCCTTTTTCAATTGTGGGTGAAAGGAGGAAAGTGAAAGTTTAAGTGGACTTAAGCCTGATTTATACTTCAGATCTACTGTATGTCATAACTTCTCTTAGCCCTGTACCTACACACTATGAAGCCTAACATGCACCTCCTCACAAATGTAACTATGCGTCAAACTGATGCAGACCGCAAGCCCTGTGATTGGTCTGCAGCTTGGCATATTTCCAGCATTTACAAGAGTTCCACTAATGCCGCCAAATTCCCATTTTGCAGAAGGAAAATTAAAAAAATCAGCTCCTAATCCAACGCTTGGTTTCAGTCGCCATGGTTTCCTGTACACAAATAAAACTGGCGATAAAACTAGCTTCGAAATCGCACTGCCAACTAGTGTTTAAACCAGGCTCTAAGAAATAGTTTCACGAATGCCAGTAGTCTGTAGAACGTAGGACTGTAGGTCTCTATCTTGTTCCTATTGTTTAGGGTCGTTAAAAGGTAATCAGGACACATGCAAATTCTGCCGCTCTAGGCGATAAGCAGGTATGCCGACCCTCTGTGGAAGCCTTACAAGAAATGTCACATCAGCGACAATATGCCAAACACGAATATATAAAGTCTTTTGCAATGCAAGTGTGCTTATATTGTCGTCATTATTATATTATACTGGAGTCAACATGTGGGTAGATTTTGCAGCTCTATATACAGATAACATAAAATAACAGGTACGCATAACCCAATATTCAATAACCTGGTTCAACTTCTGTGACAGGGTCAGGTTTTCAAACAACCACATTTCAGCTCCTCAAAAGAATGAATTCAAAGCATATAAGACTTTCTCATCTGGCTTACTGCAGTCAGCGATGAAAAAAGTCCTTTGCACATTAACATCTCCAGAGCCACTGTTTGCAACAAAGGGATTTGTGCCCTCAGCATCTCGATTGGATGAGTTATTTTGATTAACTTTCTTGGGATCTATGCAACTTAAAACAAATATCTGTATGCTGCACCCCTTCTTCATCAATAGCCTTCCTTTTTATACCTACATCCAGATCACTGGGTTATGTAAACATTTGGCGTTATTAAGGTATCTTCACACAACATTTATCTTCTCTTGGATACAGGCTAAGTTGGTGTGATTGGACAGGTCTGCCATGGCAGGTGAGAGCCGGGGGTGGTATCTGCTCTAAGCGATTGCTTAGTTTGCCTATGACACTGTTGGTAATGTTTCACTATAAGCATCAACATTTGTTAAAGTTTTATTTGATTTATTAGGTTTTTGTGATGTTCTTACATCTGTCTGTACTTGTTTTTCAAATGCCATATCTCAGAAAAGTCAGGACGAAGTATTTCTCAATCAAACACTTCCCAACACTTGGACTCAAGGGTGCAGATATTACATTTTGAAGGTCAAAGGTGAAAATCCCTCAGACTCTGTCCCCTTGTGTACCTGTTTGTTCGCTTGCTGCGAGGGTTTTCTGATCATCACCTCCTCTGATTGATGAAGTCATGCATTGAGAAGAAAGAAGATCTATCTTAAGGCCTCACCTGTCTTAAAGCTCACCCTCTCACATATCCATTTGCTCATCTTTTACCCATTCTCTTCTCCCTCATTTCCTGGAGGAGTCTTATTATCTGTATCCATTGAAATGGTTGGGGAATAAATCCAGGTAAGTAGTTTCAGCCTGACCATAAAAGAAAAAAAACGTCCTCAAGGTGACCTCACCTTCATCCTCTTTCTGTCTTCCTCTCCTTCCTCCGTCTGGAAGACACTCAGCTGAAAACATGCTGGCTTCCTTTCATGGCACCCTGTTGAATCAGTCTTATTGGTAAATTAGATTAGCGCAGCCGGCTCCACACAGTCAGCTTGGATTTAGTCTGCCTTTCTTCCCCATTACCTCTGACTGCGTTGCTGCCACTCTCCCCCGGATGGTGCAGAATTGAATAGAGGAGATGTCAGCCTCCGTCTGCTGCGTTTCCATCAGCAGAGGTTCAGACAGCGGTTTGACTTGTCTGATGTTTGTAATGTAGAAAAAGAAAATTCTCTCTTTGATCGCTCCAATTGCTTGCTGAGCTCAGGGCGAAGTGATTCCACTTCAGCCTCTCAGATCTGTGAGTTTAGCAGAGTGATTTTGAACATTGTGTGGAACAGGAGAGAAGAAGAAGGTGCTCGCTCTGAAACTCGTCCTCCCTGCAAAGCTACAAGCACTCTTTGATATATCTTTCATGCACACTGAACGTCTTTCATTCCCCAAAAAGTTACACATTTTATGTTATGTCTGTCTGAGGTTCTGATTCTGCTTCTTCCTTAAATTTATCCTTTAGATGCTGCTAAAATGTTAGCTTAACCCTAACCGAACTGAAAAACAGATGATTCATACCTTCTGTTTACGTAAAACAAAATCAACTCATCAGAATCACAACATTGACAAGTATGATTGCACATGGAAGGAATAACAAGGTTTTTTGGTCCTTCACAATAAAATACAAAGTGATTAAATAAAAGTAAATTGTATCTGATGTCTTTACCAGTTGGCAAAATATGTCCAGATAAAAAAGAGAGATACAAAAGAGGGGAAAGGATTGTTTTCTGGGTGTTACCTGTGCTGTCTGCATCAACAAATTATTTAAACTTGTGCAGAATTTCGTAGAAAATAGAACCAAAGCAAGTATGACTTCAAAGAAAAAGAAGAAGAACAGGACATATTTTTAACACATTGCTTAGTTTCTTTGCTGACACACACTGTTTGCTGACAAACTAGGACAAACTGAACATATCTGAAGCTAGATCTCCGCCTTACAGAACTCTGCTAGGGAAAAAGGATGGGAGGGGCAGGGGAAGGGTAGAGGCAGGAGGGAAGGGGGGAGCTGAGGGATGAAGGAGGTGTGTCTAAAGAGAGTATTGTTTTGGTGTGAAAATCAGCACTGAGAGTCGTATAATTTTCTCATACACACATCAATGATTCTTATTTTTTATGCTAGTTGTCCTTCTTACAGTATATTTGCCAATTGTAGACGTGTACTTTTAGTAATAATATATAATTCTAGTAGACAAAAAACAAACTTGAAAATGGAAAATGTTCTATTCCCTTGAGATAAATGATACGTCAGACACATCAAAGAGACCCTTTTTTTCATTTAGATCTTTATATTTTAGAAAAATAAAATAGAAGGAGTTCCTCCATTGCATAATGGTTTTAGAGCCCCAACGAGGTTTGTGATCGTTTGAGGTGAACCTTCGTCCAGAGCTGTTAGAGCTCCAAACAAAGTGTAGCGATAAGCCTGGCTATAAAGGGCTAGTGTCATACAGACACTTTAATGATTTCCTCCAGAATCCATCAAAAGGAAGTCTTCTATTACCCCTGTCAAGGCTCCATACGGCCCACATCACCAACCCCCCGCCCCACCCCCACAGCCATGTGGCATCCCTCAGAGTTTCTCTTGACTGGCCTCTTATTGATCTCTTGTTGTCTCTCTCTAATGAAAATGGATCTGTTTTTTTCCCCGGGGTCTCAGACGTATCACTCAACCCGCTGGTTGCTATTCTTCCAGCTCTTCACCACGAGATTTTCACAGATATGGTCCTTCAGCGACAGGATGGGCTCAGATGGAATGGTATAGGGGAAAAGGGAGGGGAGTAAGGAGAGTGAGGACAGACTGCAGATGAAGATCAATACTGGCAACATTGGCAATTTAGCACCCCCAACCCAAAGATTTTGCTTGCGCCAACATTTTTAATCTTCCATTAGCTCGAGTTGAGACTGCCTTATTTGAAAAACGTGAACCACGACAGAGGTCTTTAAAGTATTAATGTCCAGATGAGTGGTTTTATTTATTAAACATAGAAAGATTATTCATCAGTGTCATGACCATGTCATTTATGCATGTGGCAGGGATTGAAAAAGTATGCAAACACATTTTAAACTGTTGATACAACCTGGCCAGAGACTGCTTCAACTTCCAAAACCCTGCACATGTTTTAAATATTTGTGTGTAAATTATCTCAGATGATCATGTTCATTTGAGTTTTATAAACCATGCCAGGTGGCAACCAAGCGGAAACCTCCCGTGTAGAAAAATGAAGCCAATTAGGAGGTTAAAAAAAACCCACTGCATTAACTTGAGTGTCCACTTGAAGCTGGCTGCGAAAGCCAAAGAATTCCTGCTAGGTCCCGTATTAAACTGCCTATTTGTGCAGCTAATATAAATTAATTTTTTTGTTTGAATGGCTCATTTTGGTTTTTTTAAGCCTAGGAGTTGTTTGTTAATAAGCATATTAAGGGACTCGGCTGATGAGATTCACAGGTTGGAGCGTTGGAGCTGTTTACCAGTACGCTTAAGACCCACCTCAGTTTGAGTGCTTTGCCATTTTTTAGGTTAAGATAGTGTTTTCAATATGGCAACCGTCATTGTTGGCTCTTCAGGAATCCATGGATGACATTGCTTTACTTTTTAAATTCTAAATTTTGTCTCCTGAGATATGTCTTAATTTGCTTGATCTGTTCTTGTCTATCCAGGTGAATACGTGGAGAGGCAGCTCTGCCGCGATGCCATCCTGCCCATGCCGGTCATCTGTGAGGTGCCTTGCCCAAAGGACTGTGCCCTGAGCCCCTGGACCCCCTGGTCCCTGTGCTCTAACACTTGCTCTGGAAAAAACACCGAGGGCAAACAGACGAGAGCTCGCTCCATCCTGGCCTACAATGCAGGAGAAGGTAAGCCCTCCACCAGCTTTAGAAACACTCCCAGGGCTAGACAGATGTCCCTGCATTGGACAGATAATTATCTTTGTAAATCTTTAAGCGTCATTTAAACAAAGTATACACTAATCGCACTCCTAATCCTAAGCCTTTGCTAGAAGTGCAAGTTCCGAAACCAATGTTTTGCTCTATATCTTCTCCTTCTAGTTCAGTCCAAGACAAAAGATGCTACAACTAGAGAATTGAAACTTGCAGCTGCTTGCAATGTTCTGGGATCTCATTTACATAGCATTGCATGTAAATACATGTTCCGGTATGTGCAAGCAAAACCCGGAAACTGTGAGCCCTAAAGATAATTATGTTTTATAAAACCATGCACAGAAGTTCATGGCAAACTTAATGGCCTTCACTATGAACGATTATGAGGACATCTTAGATACTACAGAGCCATCCAGGCTTGTCCAGGCCCCTTTAACTTTCTGAAACCTTCCAATTTACACCCATTCACCTGAAGTTTTCTCAAAACAGACTAACCAATTAGGGAATCTTTGGTCTAAAGTGGCCTTTTGATACACTGAGTGAAATGTTAGAGTGAAATGAATTATTCTGTGTTCCTCTACAGCGACTGCAAAGGCTGTGGCTTGGGTTACTGTGATGCAGGGTAAGACTAGAAGAATAAACCAGCCTGATTGTCTGGACTGTTGCAAGACTACAAATATATCGCCCAATAAGCTCATTAAATAATCACCAGGATTTTGCCCTCTGTTCAAGGTCCTTCTCTGCTGTCAAAGATCCAGCCAGTCTTCGGTACTTTCATATCTGATGTTTCTAGACAATAGAAAGTGTTTTTTTGCTGATGTAGCACGTGGTCCTTGTATGTTTAACTAGATGGAAATAGAAACATAGCTCCCATGATATAATATCCTCCTGCTGATTTGCTTGGCCAGCAGAATCACTGTGCTTTCAAAATAGAAAAAGGCTCTCACAGACTAGAAGTAGCATTGAGAATCCCCTAGCATTAAGTGTTTTAAATCCCAGGGGTGAGGAGGAGATTGGTATCTAAATGTTGCTGGAATGATACTGAAGTAAGTGGGTCCTTGGTAAAGCCCAACCCTCCAAGCTGCCAATCACACTCTGAGAATAAAGCCGTTCTCACCAACGGTTGTAATGAGAAGAAACGGGAGGCTGCACAGATGGTTATCGTGTAGCCTGGCAGCAGATCAGAATTTTATCTTTAACTTCCCGCTACCATTTTAACAGCTCTCGCAGTCGTCTCCTGGACCACATTGCGTGACATGCTGTCTTTGGCATATTCATAACAACGCAGCATCCATGCTGGAGTAAGGAGACGCCTCATACATAATGGATGATTCTACTCCATCGTCCATGCTGGGCTTCAAGGGGACGTCCATGCAGAGTGTGATTCAGGCTGCAGGTTGCACGCCGCCACTTGTTTATTAGCTTTCTCAGCATTCAGGAGGCAGACACTGTTGCAGTATTAGATGGAAGACAACCAACAGAGTAAGGAGCCCGACGAGCTGATGATGTGTGCGCTGGTTGAAGTCACTTAGACCTCTCTCTCTCTAGCAAAGTGAACCTGGTTGGAGAGGACTAGTCAGCATACAGAATGAGACTCAGGATGGAGCAGAGAAGAGTGGTAGAGAGGTTTTTGTGAGTCTATCTGTCTGTTGGACCCTTTTCATATGAAGACCAGGAGGGTTCAGATGTTTTGTGTGATACCGCTGGCTTAGTTGTGGTGTAATGCAAATACGTGAATGTGCTTGCTAAAAGCATCAGTGTTGCACTTATGCTACACCGTCCACCTGCACATATATGGATAACAAGTCTCAAACATAAATACTTTTTTTTTTTTTTACTTTATCCTTGGGCCATATTTAAAAAGATAAGTAATGGATACAATACAAGAAAGAATGGGACAGACGACTTGGAAAGCATGTGTCATCATGTCAAACCTTCTTATTGTCTCCCATGGAAAAATCCAAATCATCAGCATGCTGGTTAATTTCCGACAGTAGAGCCAATGCCCCATGTGCAGAGACTATAATCCTCCCCGCAGGGTCCCAATCTCACCCAAACTCTCTCCTCCCAATAAATTGTGTCTCCCTTCAGCTGTCCTATCAGGATAAGGTAAATTCGACAAAAACTACAACAACAAAAAACCCACAACTTACCAAAACATACACAGCCAATCTTGTGTATCTAACAGATAGCCAACGGACAGTTTTCAATTAATAATTTGCCTCATAATGAGATCGAGACACACACACTGAACAATAGCAGTAGCAAGGCGGTGTGTAAACTAATTATTCAGGTCAAGACAAACACTGAGGATGACAGAAAGGATTATCTGTTGACAAGGTCTTGTAGAGTAAATAATCCACACAGTAAATATGTGAACACAGTGATGATGATACGGAGGAGACTGTTCCAGAATTGTTGACATGGCAGCAGAAATGAAAGCAGCCTTTGTAGAGGTGCATTTCTCTAATCGTCTTGACAGCACTTAAATATTTATCAATTGACTATTTAATTAACTGCTGCAGGAGTGATGGTGTCCTTCTATGTGTTAATGAGCTGCAGGCTTGATAAATGACGACCCTCATGAAATCCAATAATATATATTTTATAAAGGCCCATGTGAAGGACATTACTCCGGGGCTTTTACACTCAGGTCAGCCATTTCTTTTGTCTCACGTCCGCTTCAGATGCTCTGACTTAAAGATTTCGTTCAATGACTTCTAATGGCTGACCTGCTCCTGGGGAAGGGTCTTTTCTTCCAGGGGATGGCAGCTGCTAATGACAAGATTTCGTGGTGAAGAGGGTCACATGGTGTGCACACCCCACCTGGGTCCACATTCAGGTTTCTGTCTTTGTGTTGACACTCTGGCATCTTGCTCATCTCTCCTTTGTTAATCCCGGCAGCAGGTCATCCCCCGCGAGACCCTCTGGTTTATCTCTCCTGCTGCTCGAGGGTTGTTTGTTGTCAATCAAGTGGAAGCTAAAAGCTAATGTACAGCAATGATACATACAGCCTTTCTACTACTACTAATAATAATACAAATAATAGGAATTTTTGTTATAGCACCTTTAAAAACAACTTTACTTTGACATGCGAGCAAAAGAATATGATGACTAGATAGATGACTGATATGAGATGATTTACGTTTATTAACCCGTCATACACTGATTATCGCAGGCATTTCTGCTGTGGGCGGGGCCTAGAAGATGATCAATCAAATAAGATCAATCAAATAAGGGTGATGTCAATCAAAATGGAATATTCCACACCAACACAGTCTTGGAAATGGTTAAACCCTAAAATGAGCTTCTTCTTCCTGCTTCTAACTCATTTTTTTTTTTTTTTACTCTCAGATTTTTTCTAAATTCTTAATGAGGAGCTTTTTACTTTGTACTATTCCAGAGCACATCCATTGTTTTTATCTTTGGTTGACAGGCATAATTTTTAAACAGAGCCTCACTTCTGTTAACATTTCCCTTGGATCTCTGTTTTCTCTTCTTTGTATTACTTGACTTTGACCAAGTACTCCTTTTGGAAACAGTAAACTCAATACCAACAGAGAGCAGGTGTTTCATATTAACATGAGTGTGCCACTACTCAGTGTGTCGTAGATTTACAAATCGTATTGTACTGGTGCCAACAGACAAAGGGCCTAAAAGCAAACTAAAGACAAAGAAAAAAAGAAGCGCTAAGAATGGCAAATGGGCTGAGCATGCAAGTTTTTACCAACGCATTGGACGACTGGGCTTCTGGATTAGCAGCCAGTTTCAGTATCATCCTTTTTGAAGACAAAGCAGTTCCTTTTTTACCTTAACATGATGCTGCAGGGTGTTCTATCACCTCCCTGCTATACAAGAGAGGTCAAAAGTATAATAGCAATGGATGAGAAAAATGCCACATGAAGATTAGAAAAGTGAGATAAAGATAAAGATAAACTTTATTGATCCCCCGTGGGGGAAATTTGTGCATTACAGCAGCTCCAGAAAACAAGGGACGGGAATATACTTATTAGAAGTTAAAAACAGATCAAACATATTTACATCATTTAAATAAAAAATAAAAAATAAAAATACAATAATGTAAAATTACACAGTAACTTGTTCTTAAAAAAACACACACAGTGTGTAGCATGAGGTGGTGATGTTGTTAAAGAGTCCGATTAAACAGTCTGACGGCAGACTAAGACTGAATAAGAGGATGCTTTCAAAGGATAAAAAAAACAGCCAAAAAATCTGCAAAGGAATTCCTCATATTAACAAATTAGGAATGATGGAAAATCTGCATTTTAAGCCACAGCAGTTTTTATCCACCACATTTTCTTCTCCAGTCTTATCATGAAAAAAGGCATTCTTGCTCTCTGCACAAATCCACCAGTTTGTGTTCTTGTCCCGTTTAAGACACCTGATGGCTGGGCTTTCTGGCTAGAACACAGTCCAACTGTTGTGTCTGCCGCCAATGTGCATTGCACTTGGATGTCTGAGTGAATCACCAAGAGTAAAGCTATTTTCTCTGGGTGTCTTTTTCTGCCAAATGAAGGAAATCATCTTTTTAGCTTGTTCTTCCTTGGATAACACTCATATGATCCCAAATCTGTTGATATCCAACAGCTTTCAGCCTGATCTCTATCTCCTCTATCAATTATGCTGAGATTCTGACTCTATATGTACAGCTAATACGCCTTACCACTTTCCAAGCGATATCAAAGTCACCGACACATATCCGAGGTCTGAATAAATCATGAGGATTTTGTTTTAGTTGGGTTTCGCTGTAGTGAACCTTGTGGTCAAATAACTAAATCCAAACAGTTTAAAGGCACACTACTTCAAATGTGTTGTTCAGTGAAGTGACCGTTGTGAACACCCAATAGGAGCGGTCTCACCAGCCACCAACAGGAAGTTGCAAACTAGTAGACACAGCCAGGAGGCGAAGGAATGTGTGGTTCTGCTTGAATGTGGAAAAGGAGGAGAAACTTCTGGAGTTGGGGAGAGCTTTAACATGTCATTCCCTTTAAACCACTGAAGAGTGGAGAAGGAAAAAAACGTGGAAAGAATTGTTTGTGCCCTCAGAATCCCTAGCTGTCGCTGTAGCAATACCTACCAGGCATATCCATGGTTCTAACCAGGAATATGAACTCAATCATTAATCTCTGGACTTTTTGAGGGCCACAGCAGTTTTTATCCACCGTATTTTCTTCTGCAGTCTTATCATGAAAAGAGGTGTTTATTGCTCTCTGCACAAATCCATCAGTTTGTGTTCTTGTCCGGTTTTCTGCTCAAAAGTTGTAATTGTAACTTTCCACCAGGGGCATGATGGGAAATAGTCTCAAAAGGACTCTAGTTGTAGTCTTGCAGTTAGTGACCCTGGAAGATCCCCAGTCTTTGTAAGATCTTAATGAGTCTTCTGGTCCATGGAAGGTACAAGTCTAACCCAGGTTCTTGCTTTCTCAGGTGGAATCCAGTGTCCAAACGCCAGCGCCCTGCAGGAGGTGAGGAGCTGTAACGACCATCCCTGCACCGTGTACCACTGGCAGACCGGCGCGTGGGGGCAGTGCATAGAGGACTCATCCATCCCGGCCACCAACGCGTCTGCAGGTCGGACGCGTGGAGATGATGCTTCGTGCTCGGTTGGGATGCAAACTCGCAAGGTCATCTGTGTCCGGGTCAACGTGGGCCAGGTTCCCCCGAAAAAGTGAGACTCCACATTATTCTCTCGCCGCAAAGTGATCAAATAAATGTGTTGAGAAACGATCATTCAAAGACGGGGGGGGGGGGGGGACAATCGTACCAAACCAGCAGCTCTGCATACTTATCAACTCTGTATTTCTGCTTGCTTGCTGCTCCATTACTGAAACTCTTCAGGTGGTGACATCATTTTTAATAGTTCGAATTTTCTAAGTAAAAAAAAAACAACCTTTGTTTTTCGGCTGCAGATGTTTGCCGGGGCACATTTTGCCGTTTAGTCTCCCGGTTGGCGTGTTGCTGCTGCTGTCTGGTGGAAGTGTTGGCTGATGAGCTGATGAGCTGCTGGCCCACTGTTTTAGCATCAGGGCCTGTTTCCCCTCCCGAAGGCATCCGCTGGGAACATAAATTATCTATTTATTTATTCAACAGAACGGGAGCATTATTCTGGCAGCACAGCGGCACTGCGAAGGCAAACCCCGCCTGCCCCCACGCTGTGTATGGAAATTAATCTCGCTTTTTACTCCTAAACCTACTGTTACATGCTGAGCAGTGAGTCCGCTGCCTTGAGACACACTTTCACATCAGTGGAGAGAGGGGCTCCCGTTCACACCACTAGCACCAGCTGTGGCCGAGATGTGACCAGTGAACACGGAGTGGCATGAGAGCCTTCAAGGCATTAACGCTATAGGACAAATAAACCATAATTTGAGATATTTAACAGGTGCAAATATCAACTGTCATTTTTTCCAGAAGAGATTCTTACCATGTCTTATTTAGGGATCTGTTATGGGAATACATAACAAAGATGTTCCTGACTCTCCTCGTTTTCAATGGAAAGGGATTTTATGATCTGGGAAAATGTTGAAGGAGAAATTTGGTATTTTTAAGCCCGTGCCCTTAGGCTGGGGTCTTCTGCTTTCCAACCTCTTCACTTTTCTTAATTACCAACCTTTGGTTCTTCCACCTCCACCTTTCTTTCTTTTTCAGCCTTTCTTTCCTTCCTCTTTCATCCTTGTCTTCCTTTCATCCTCCCTGCCTTGTTTTGTATTTTCTGTCCCTTAACAGGTCTAATAATAAACTGAACAAACAAACATATCAAACCTAATTTTGCAAGCAAAGTTTCCTTTTCCCCCCAGCTTTGTTTAGAACTGTATGGAGAATTGCACACACATTCACACACAGTCCCAGTCTTACAAAAAAAAAATCCTGTGCTAAATCAGGCATATTAGGAACCTCCACATGAACTCCCAGCGTGCTCCCTCTGGCTCTGATCCAGCACATCTTTCTCAGATTTTCAAGGGTACTCTGTGTGTGTGTGTGTGCCTGAGCATTTCAATGATGTACCTTCAGGTGTCCAGAGAGTCTGCGCCCAGACACCGTCAGGCCCTGCTTACTGCCGTGCAAGAGAGACTGCATCGTCACCCCGTACAGCGACTGGAGCCCGTGCCCATCAACATGCAGAGCAGGTAGCCACTGTTCTTCTTTTCTTTTTTTTTTTTTTAGCACAAACACTGAAGCTTCTCAACGTGTCACACAGGCTAAATAAAACAGCGTGTTAATCTATTTCTGGTAGTTTAAACTTGGGCTCTATTTTACAGATTTTAGTGTCTAAATAATTGATTAAATGTTTTGAATTTTAATAACTGCAACTTCATTGGTGAAGGCAAACAAAGTGGGCCAAAGGGCGGCCAATAAATACATTATTGTCTTTGTCAGTGACAGGATTCAAATAACATTGCAGAAAGAAAACCGACAGAGATAGTCCTTTTTGTTAAAAAGGAAGTATTTTTTTTTTAAAACAGAAACTGTCATTACATCGCTCTGTCCAAAGCAACCAGAGTCCTCTGACAGAAACACAAATGTATCACTGCAGAATGTGTGCTTGTGTACCACTGCCCTGATCAGCTTCTTTGTCGTTTGATTCAGTGTTTCAGGAATACTTTGTGGATCCAAACCAACCATTTAAAACACCAGAGTCACACCAAATATTTTCAACTTGCTTCATTGTTTTTAATGCACAAACTGTCCCAGAGACTGTATTCAGTGTGTCCACTAAAGGTTGCTATATAACTAAGGCATTTGCAATGTAAATGAAGACTTTATAGTACCACATTGGGGGAGGGGTTGGTCATTTTACCTTGCAGATCATGGGAGTTGTTTGTGTCCACCTGCCTTGATTTACACAGGTATTATGTGCTACCCCAACCAAGTATATAAACACCAAAGTCCACATAATTTCAGTTATCTTGAATACTGTATAGCACCACTGGTCTGCTTATTGTTGAGTAACACAACTTAATCCAAGAATGAACACATACTAAGCTTAGATATGTAGAAGCAAGTCAAAAAGTAAATGAAGGAAGTTTAAACAAAGCAAAAGCCAAATAATTAGAAAAACATAACCACACCTTAACATGGAGACAAAAAGATTATTCCATTCTTAATGTGAGGATCATGACTTTCAACTGGATAGGAAAATGTCTGCCCAGAAATGGTATCTAAAATACTGTTTGTAGCATTCCCATATTCATTTCTAGACATTTCCCATTTGAAAGCTCTTTTTCTCTGTATGATGAGATGAAAGGAGCACTTTATTCTGTTATCTGTATCATTTCAGTCTTTGAAAAATGATCGTCCAGCAGGAATCTCCATGCCTTTAGCCTTGTGAGAAGTGCCATCTGATATGATAGTCCAGATATAGCAGCAGACTTCCTGTAAAATCCATAACCTCTACCACCCATGGAGATGTATGAGATACCAGAGCAGATGATGGGGTGGTATTCAATATTCCCATTTGATTGTATTAGCTTCTCCTTGAAGTGGTCAGATTGAGCAGAGGCTGAGCGGGTGGATGCCTTACAGAAAAACTGGCCTGCTTTACACTCAATGGACAGATTAAATGTTGTTTTAAAAATAGCAGAATTGACTAACAATATCTACATTTTTGAAGTTCTGTAATAAGTGAGCATAGTTTATTCTGTTGCATTTTGACCCTTTCACCTGGGGCAGCTGAGGCTCAGTTGGTAGTCGGTCGTCTCTCAACCAAAAGGTCCAAGGTTTGATCCCCAGCTCCTGCAGCCACATGTCCGTTGTGTCCTTTGGCAAGACACTTAACCCCAAGTTGCTCCCGCTGCTTCATCAACAGTGTATGAATGTGTATGAATGGTATTAGTTACTTCTGATAGTCACTTTACATATCAGCCTCTGTCATCAGTGTGTGAATGTGTAGGTGTGACCTGTGGTGTGAAAGCACTTTGAGTAGTCAGAAGACTAGACAAGGGCTGTACAAGCTCAAGTCCATTTACCATTATTTATTTGTCAGTTCAATTGTTATTGTTAATTCACACACGTTTTCTTTTGTTTGCCTCCTTTGCTAAGGTGGTAACATCAAGAAGAAGCAGTACAGAAAACGTATCGTCATTCAGTCACCAGCCAATGGAGGACAAGACTGTCCTGAGGTTCTGAACCAGGAGAGAGAGTGTGATGCTCCATCTGTCTGTCAAGGATACAGGTAACTTTTACATATTTAACATGAAATCTGCACACATTACTTATTGTAAACATCATATTTGGATTTACAAGGAATAATGGTTAAGTTTAGATGGCTATGACCGTACCTTCACAGTATCCTTGGATTCTAGTATCTCTAGTCCAAAAGCTTGTGAGCTCAGTCAGACAGTCAGATTGAGCCCACCACTACATCTGAGTGGGTTATGTTTTTTTTTAAACTAAATGGATATAGTAAACAGTGCATCGTCTTGGATTTTCTTGCAAGATATCTTACTTTTACTTTGTATTTGGCACATGGATTCAAACTAGCAGCCATTTCGCTTCATCTGACTTAAACACCCTTTGATTCTAATATATATATTTTTTTTTTCAGATGGAAAACCCACAAATGGCGTCGATGCCAGCTTGTTCCATGGTCAGTTCGTCAGGACAGCCCTGGAGCTCAGGAGACCTGTGGGCCTGGCTTGCAGATTCGGGGTGAGAACAGACACACACACATAAATACACAAACACACAGACTGCACAAACATTCATATGTCAATGTCTTTTACCCTATATGAAAACGAGTTAAAGAGCAGGAGGAGCAGTGTAACCATAAGTCGTCATGAGGAAATGGTATTAGACCAAACTGAGATGGTTTAAGTGGGGATCTTGGATCCTTCCAATGACAGGCTCTTATGTGCTACAGCCTGGAACAAGGGAGTTGGCATAAAAGCTGCACCTGAGGGTTGAATTTAACTAGATCAAACTGATCCAGCTGTTAATGGAATAAGTCTGAGAGGAGATATGTGAATGTTACAGATTGAATGCAACAAAAACCCCTAGGTAGAGTCGGTCATCTCTCAACCGGAAGGGCGGGGGTTCGATCCTTGGGCAAGACATTAAGCCCTGCTTCATCTGCGATATGTGTATGAATGGAATTAGCTAAAAATCCCACTTTACATAGCAGCCTTTGCAATCAGTGTGAGAATAGGTGTGAATAGGTTAGGAAGTTTTTTTAGTAGTCAGAAGACTAGAAAAGCACTATGTAAGCTCAAATTAATTCACCATTTTAGTTCCTGATTTATAACAGCCTCAAAATAGACAGTCCCTCCAACAACACCAAAAACATGTCCTACCCTTTTCAGGCTACTTGCTGAGTGTAGCATTATTGCTTGTGACCTGAGTAGGAGGCAGACAGTTGACTTGCTATCAGGACACACACACACTTAGACTCCTATTAAAGTGTCAGAGACAGATACCATTATCTGATTCCAATGATGAGTATCCCGCTCCTCCATCTTGGGAGGCTTTTGTCATTATGTACCATTACCTGTAATAGTATACTCTGAACTGGAGAGACACAATTCAATACAAACCTCTTGCTATTCACCCACTCATTCAATACAACTAGCAGAAGGCGTGTGTGTGTGTGTGTGTGTGTGTGTGTGTGTGTGTGTGTGTGTGTGTGTGTGTGTGTGTGTGTGTGTGTGTGTGTGTGTGTGTGTCCGTCCTTGCTTATCTTTATATCCTACTGTGGACCTTGGCTTCATTATGCATTCAACAACAGGGGACCACCAAGCTGACAAAGCAAATTTTGAAGGTCTATTGTTGGTTTACTTTAAAACATACTAAAACAATGCCTGAAACCTCCTGATGCACTTTTTTTTATTCAACAGAAGACCAGAGTGTGTGTGAGTGTTTAAGTATGTACTCACAACTGCCTCTACTGGCCGTAGCAGGAATTTCATCGACTCGTTCCCACTTGTTTCTTACATATAAATATTGTCTATTATATTGACCTCAAACAGATATCTATACTTGTTTATCAATCTGGCTATTACAATGATACAACTTGTGAAAAGTCAATTTGATTTGCCATATGCTATAGTGCAACTCTCTCTGGCCAGTTCAGCCATAAGGGAGCAAGTCCTCTTAAAATTGGTTACATGGACAAAGAGCACGGTATATTTATGAATTAGTATGTTTTGTATGCATATGCATGGCCACGTCACTATAGTGACCTGATCATTTTATTTTATTTTCCTCTGCATTCCTTTAGACTACAGTTGGTATATCTTCTGAAATTTTAAATAAAGTCATAACTTTCAAAAATCTATGTTTTTTTTGGCTAATCAGTCACTCTCTGCTAAGTGCTAAGGCTAGCTCTTTCACTCAGTAGAATGCCAAATTGAGCAGCAAGAAATTCAGCCAGTCTCATATCGTTTTGAATCAAAAATAGATTCTCAATCGAATCGAAATCGAGTTGTGAGACACCCAAAGATGCCCAACTTTACTTTAGACTAAAACTTGGTTTTGAAAATGGCTGTTTTTTGTAAATAGTTTTTTTTTCTTTTTAAATGAATGTCATGTTCTTATTTACTGTCTATGAATGTAACATTGAGCAATCTTTAAACTTCATTACAAATATCTGATACTTATCTTACTAGAGTATTTCCATTATGTTTTTCTTTATACATCTTCTCCAGAACAAATCATAAAGGACATGTACAATCAGTATGCAGTGTTAAAGTGAAGTGTCGACCCCAACTCTAAACTATAGATGCATGGAGGCCCTCTTGTTAAAGCTCCAACCTTTCATTCTCCTGTAGCTGTTTCATGCCGGAAGCAGGATGGTGGACAGGCAGACATTGAAGCTTGTTTAAAGTTTGCCAGCTCCATGCCGCCTCTCACGCAGCCCTGCCAGCTGCCCTGCCAGGAAGACTGTCAACTCAGCAGCTGGTCCAAATTCTCTCCCTGCTCAGCTGATTGTGTGGGCGTCAGGACGCGCAAGAGGATGCTCATTGGTGAGAGACAGACTTTAACTTCCAGTTTAAGTTAGCCTTAAGATTAAGGTGAATGGATGTGAAAAACAGTTTGTAATTTTTAAGTTTTGTATTTAAAGTCCCTCAGTTACTAAAGACAGCCATAAATGTCTGGAGTGTTACATCTTAATTTTTTATCCTGAGGAAGAATGATCCCAAAATTGCAAGTCCTTCAGTTGTTATACTTTATGGGTTTTTCTATACAATTTCTTTTTTTTTTTTTTTTTGCAGGGAAAAGTAAAAAGCGTGACCAGTGTAAAAACAACCAAGTGTATCCTCTAAGTGAGACCCAGTACTGCCCATGTAACAAGTACAACGCCCAGCCTGTGGGCAACTGGTCAGACTGTGTCCTACCTGAGGGTGGCCGAGTTGAGGGTCAACTCGGCATGAAGGTCCAAGGAGATATCAAGGAGTGCGGCCAGGGTTATCGTTACCAGGCCATGGTGTGCTACGACCAGGACAACCGCATCGTCGAGACCTCTCGCTGCAACAGCCATGGTGAGCCCTCTATGTTAAAATTACCTGCTAACTCTGGCTCTCAAAACAAAATGTTAAGTTTCTATCTGTTCATCACCGAAAAAATATCTGTGGTTCAAAAAATTATCTCACTATGATGTCATACAAACGTACACAGCAATTTTGTTAAAATGATGAAAAGACTAATTTTAAGATTGTATCTATCTGAGAGAAAAACACCAGCCGCGATGGTTTTCAAATCTTATCTGATCTCTCCTCCCCCTGCACATGACGTGAAGAGCGTGTGTATGAGATCTTGTAAACAAGACTTTTTAAGGTGGACAATGGAGAACAATAAAATATAAGTTGGAAATGATTAGCTAGAAATTAGGTAATGCTGTTAACCTACCTGTGAAGCAATGCAGCTCATGTTATTGACTTGTGCAATAAATGTTGCAATCATTTGAACTCCTTGCCAGCACAACCACTGACCCCATCATAATTGTTACATGCTATATAATACAATGTTGATTATGTTATGGCTCTATTATAAGTTATACCAACAACCTAAATGTACAACTTGTCCATGTACAAAGTAGTATTTTCCCTACTTCCAATGTGTATACCCATGCTTGTGATTTGCTGTCGGTAGCAGTTATCAATGAGGTGAACATCTGGAGGCCAACATCTGGTCATCTTCCAGAAAGAACAGATGTAAGGCAGAATCTGAAGGTTTGGCACAAAACTGTTGGTGTTTGGGTCTTGCTTTCTTATCTGATGAACCTTGAACCCAACAGCCATCATCAGATAATGTAGCTTTTATTTATATGCTCAATGTGTGGATGGTGATTCAGAGCGTCTTAACTCCAACAAAGGCCAGTGGATAAAAAAAGAAGTCTTGGCCCAGATAAAACTAGCCAATTTATGGATGTCTGCTGGTAACACAGTAAGCACCAAAATGTCGACTGCAGGGCCCTAGAGGCTAAATATTTGTCAGACAATAACCAATGGTTTCTGGGATTTTGCTTCCCTTAACCCCACCTCTCCAAGTCAAAAAAGATTCAACCTCTTTTTGAAGAGAAATAACAAATTTTTAAAGTAAAGTTCACAAGCACACAAAAACCCCATTGCTCAACTGATGCCCCAAGGAGTTTTGTTGCTTTATTTGATGTGGTATGAGCTTATGGTGACTAATGTTATGACTAAAGTTTGCTAATGTTGGAAAACTTTTGTTGGATATTACTCGTTTAGACATTTCTGGGTCAAATTATTGGCGAAGCTTTTCTTCTGCAATGCTACTGTTTTACTTTGTTTGTCATGGAAGGTTATTATAGTTAAGGTAGCTGTTTAGGATAAGTTACATTAAATGTGCACAAAGCAAGATTGAAGAAAAGGAGGATTTTCTGGCACAAACTTCACCGACTGACAAGGTGCATGAAGAGTGAAAGGCTTAGAAGAGGTCAAAATGCACCAGCAACACTTGTAGTAAGAAGATCAACTTTATTAATAACAAGTTAGACTGATGCGTTTTGGGTCATGGCCTTCATCAGGGTCATCAACACAAAAGCAAGATTGATAAGTTGATAACGGATGGCTTGCCTGAACAGTGCCCACCGTAACTTTTACTTGTTTGATAAAGTGCTCATGATGGATTAAGCCAGGTCTTTGTAATATAGCATTAAGTAAGGTATTTACCTGCTTCTTGTAACATAACAATGAGTATGGTCTTGTTACCTGCTCTTTTGTAAAGTGTCTCAAGATAACACTTTTTACGAGTTGACGCTATATAAATAAAGATTGATTGATTGATTGATTGATTGATAAGTGTTTTTTTCCCATCCCCCAGTCCTCCTTTTTCCACTTTTAAGAGGAAAGCACAGAAATACTTTGTTGTCCCATCTTTGACCTTCCCTTACCAAAGAGGTGACAGATCAGAAACATATGGATCTTTGTTTGTTAAGCCCATATGGATTTGGAAGTCACTAACAAACAGGCTATTTTAGTACAGAAGTAGTTTGTTGGATGAAATGCATCTTGTGGATTTCAATGGATACAAACTCTGAATTAAGACACATTTGTCTTTGGTAAACTTTCTCCAGTGCCACTAAAAATAAGATTGCAACAAAGAGACCAACTTTAAAAAAATGTATATTTCAGTGAAATACAGTATTCCTTCAAGAATGCAGTCTTGTCGAAGTACATAGCGACAGCAAATAACTCTTACATTGATGTCATTTGACCCAGTGTCCGAAATCAGCGTGTTAGATTATCAAAGCTCCAGTGTAAATTCAACAATAAATCACAGTTACTATGGGATGTATTATCCGCCAGGCCGCTTTGTGGTGCGCTGTATTAACATTCAACAGTCAATTCCAGCAGAGGGAGAAAAGGGAATTAAGAATCACAGTGCTGTCGTACTCTGCTTGTCAGCTCTGGGAAAATACAAGAACACATCAAAGCACCCGGGGGGGAATGAGCGTGTCTGTGTTTGCTCATTGAGAAACCCTTCTCAATGTGACTCAGAGCTGTCCTCTCAGTATGCGGCTGCTTGATTGTAACTGGCTGTAACTGGAAAGAAAGATACTGGACTCAGTGTTAGTACTGTTATTTGCATTCTTTCTGGTTAAGATGTCTTTGATTGACTTTTTGCTGCCAGAGTATTGAGGGGTTATATGGTAATTGGCGGGTCTTTCCCTGTGATATTCATGTTTTTGCTACAGCTGGATATGAGTGATGCTGGGTTTGTGTATGGCAGGGGTCAAATAGAGGACTGAATTGAGTAAGAGCAAGGATGCTTTTATTCCAGAGGAAAGTTTGAGACAAGTTTGGTGGTGCTTGGAGTTCTGGTTTTTGATAAGAAAGTCAGACTATTGAATTAAGAATTCCTACAACCCATCATGGCCTCACATACAGTTAGATCATTCTGCCATCAAGACAAAAATCTTATCCCTGTTGCTCCAGCACTGCAATCAAAGCCACTGTGAAGAACTTTCATTTTCTGTTCATCTTTCAACCCCTGAGGACAAACGCCCTTGTTCGATCTCATTGTTGATTTTGTCTTTTACACAGTAAAGGAGTGTTCGCTGACATAAAAAAATCTCCCCGCTCTGTTTTAAATACCAAACTCATCAATCCTTTCTGTGGATAGTGTAAACAAAGATTGTATCAGGAGCTTGCCATTGATCGCTTGTCTGACATCTACCCAGTGGCAGCGCCAATATTAGAGATGTCAAATGTGTTCCTGATGTTCTTTTTAGCTTTGTAGGTCATGTTGAGACATCAGTATGAATGTCAGTCTGTTTTGTTACCAGCTCCTGTTTCCTCACATGAGTTTTAATTATCACTTTACCTTCTAGTGTGTTTCTTTTTTGGTGTTTCCTCTTAGAGTCAGTCAAGTATTCTTCCTTCAACCATTACCTATATTCCTTTTAAAAACTTTTGCCGGACAGTTGCACCATTTTAGTTTTATTAAAGATATAGAAAGCTGAGTAAATCATTACACTAAGAAGTTTCCCTTCTTGTCAAGCTGTTACTTGTGGTGGACTATCTCAGAACCTCTTAAAATTTGTAATAGTGTTTTTAAACCGGCATGTCTTTTTAATTATATGTTTGGGCTTCTTCAAAGAAACCAATGCTGCCCGACTGTTGCATGGAAGTTAGCCCACTTAGCAAACAATCTGACTTGGTGAAAACTGACCATGTGCTGAAAGTAAACACTTATGATAAGAGTTTTCCTGACAGCCTCAGCCTTTCCTGACAGCCTCTTCGGCTTCTATGCAATCTATTCCTCTGTTATGTTCCAGCAAGCAAAATTAACTTGGTAAGTGTTTTGAATAAGATCGATATCTTGTCTCAACAAACTTCAGTGGACTTTGCTTGCTGCACTCACAGCTGTTTTTACTCATTACAAGCAATTCCAGCCTTACTTGTTATTTCAGTATTATAAAATAAAAAGTTTATGTGGACCTGCTACATTTGAGTTTTTGTAATCTAGTCTTTATTTATGGTACTTAAATACACATTAAAGAGTTAAAAACAGTCATGAGAGTCGGTCGTCTCTCAACCGGAAGGTCAGGGGTCCAATACCCAGCTCCTGCAACCACATGTCCGATATGTCCTTGGGCAAGACACTTAAACCCCAAGTACCTGCTGCTTCGTTGGAGGCGTATGAATGTGTATGAATGGGATTGGTCAAAACTGATGGACTTTTTGGATAGCAGACTCTACCATCAGTGTGTGAATGTGTAGATGTGACCTGCGGTATAAAAGTGCTTTGATGAGGCAGAAGACTAGAAATGTCTATATGCTCAAGTCCTTTTATTATTTGCCAATTTATACCAGATGGAATAAGGGAGGATTGAAAAGAACATCCTTAAAATAAATCAAAGCCATTCCATTTCAGGGATGCTTCATTGAAAATGTCTTTACCATGTGTGTCTGACTCTTTCAGTCTTGTCTTGTCTGCAGAGGATGATGCCGATGTACTGAATCATATATTCTTTCATCTGATTGGTTACAGGATACATTGAGGAGGCTTGCATCATCCCGTGCCCTTCTGACTGCAAACTGAGTGAGTGGTCCAACTGGTCACGCTGCAGCAAGTCCTGCGGCAGCGGGGTGAAAGTACGCTCCAAGTGGCTCAGGGAAAAACCTTACAACGGAGGGAGACCGTGTCCCAAACTGGACCACGTCAACCAGGTGAGAGGATTCACTTCACACGGTTCAGTTCTTGATTTACAGGCTAGGATGTGATTCTGAATTCTGAACATTTTTATGATTATTTCAAGTGCTTGTTCTAGAGTACATTAACCTGAATGCCTTTTTCTTTTGCTCCTTTCTCCACTTTGATGAATGGCTTCCTCTCACAGGCTCAAGTAAGTGTGCTGTTTTATAAACTTGACCTTGTCCTGTAGTAATTATGTTATAATACTTATACGTACTGTAAAATTTTTTTTTTTTACTGTCAGCAATTAAGAAACAAAAACAGTCTTATATAGGTTAGATTTCAATGAAGCTTTTATTAAAAATTTAAGGTTATAAGTTGTTTTTTTTTATAAGGGAGACCTTTTATTAAGCTTTGAAATGTCGCTCTTTAAAAGCCACTTGACTCCATTGACAAAAAGATCGTTTTACCTTTGTAGAACATTTAAGTCAACTGAAGCCTTAATTGTTTATTTTTGTGTCTGATTTTGGTCTGAAAAATACAATTCTTAAACAACAAGGTCTTTAAATAAGGACTCTTTGATTGGTGTCCAGTTGTGCTATACAACAGATAACATAATGGCTGATTACTCACGTTGGTGTTTGTATGTCAGGTGTACGAGGTGGTGCCATGCCTCAGTGACTGTGGGCAGTACGTCTGGGTGGCCGAGCCTTGGAGTGTGTGGAAGGTCAGCAATGTGGACCTGAAGGATAACTGCGGTGAGGGTGTTCAGACCAGGAAAGTCAGGTAAGATCTGCATACGTGTCCCAACATAGGTCTCATGGACTTTTACCATCCTCTGTCTGTTACGGACGGTTGGAAAAACAAGGGAGGTGGACCCAAGTGCAGAAACCAAAAATATTTAATTAAACAAAAAGGCCAAAGGCAACAAAACTTAATTTCAAAAGTTCAACAAAAAACACAGGGATAAACAACCCGGAGCCACAGAGGAGCACGAGCAAAACTGACATTCCAACAACATACAAACACCACTGGCAACTTACAACATACAATGAACTGACCCAGAAGGGAAGAAACACAGAGAATAAGGGTGCGTTCGAATTGTCCCTCCTACCTCCTTTCACTATCCACTTTACCTTAACCCCGGAAGCATTTAAGTGGCGGCCATGATAAGAGCCGTTCGAATTCTCTAAAAGTTAAGGAAAGGTGGGTCAATGCTTCCTTTATAACCTCCTTTAGCATAGGATACACTGGACCATCCTTTACGAAAGGAGATGAGATATGACGCCCCACAATTCCTTGCGGCCGCAACATTTAAAGCGAGTCGCGCATCCGACCATTCACGGAAATTACATTTGTATGCTTAAAACATTATGTGTAGGCTATATCTTATATAAATGTAACCAATTAATTTCATCCAATCATATTTATGTTGATGTTGATTTCTGATTGGACAGCAAGCTGATGGTTTCACTTTTGTTACTTGTAGCCTGGTAGTCTATATTTCTTTTATTTCAATCCCAACCTTGTGGTAATTAGGATTATTTCACCGGTAAGAAGGCACAGGGGAAAGTTTTTTTAGATGCGTTTTTTGTAGTCCATTTTCTAAACATTGTAATTTCAACACGGCAGACTCACGTCATTAACCTCCGCCGGCCCGTCACATTATTGACGTCGCCTAGTGGAAAATGTGGTCGGATTGTCAGAGCAACAAGATCGCCTTTCCCTAAGTCCTTTATGAATTCTCCTAACATCTTCCCTTGACCTCATGACGTTTTCGCGGGGTTAAGGTAAAGTGGATAGTGAAAGGAGATAGGAGGGACAATTCGAACGCACCCTAAATAGACACAGGGGTAATCAAACACAAGTGAGACTAATGGAAGGAATGGACACAACACTGAGGACAACTACAAAATAAAATACATGAAACACTGAAGACACACAGAACTCAAGAATGAAACAAAACACACTAGAACATGAAGTTACAAAAATAACACATGAAACATTAACCTAGAAAACACACAAGGGAAACAACACCATCAGACAAGAATGAGAACTAAAAACAAGAAAACCTAAACTCTGAAAATAAGAAACCAAATCATGACACTGTCACTGTTCAGCATTTATCCCAAAGAGCCCCATGTGGTTACAAAAGTTCTTGAGCTGTCATGTTTTATCAAAGACAAGATGACTTGTGTGAACCTTGGATACAGAAGTATCCTGGCATGCACTTAACTTTTGTGTGAAAGAAGTGCTAGAAGCCATTGTGACGTCACCTATTGGTTTGTGAAGCCCAGCCTTGTGTTTTTGTCTGGGTGACATTGGAGCTGGAGAGAAGTGAGTAAGTTTTTAAAGGAAAGATATCAGCTAATCTTACCATAAACTCATTTTGAAAAAGTTTATAGAGGCATTATATCAAAAGAAACCTGGCTCATTTTCTTGTAGAGTCACACACTTTCAAAGGCGTCCATTTCACCTTGACTTCACTTTTTGGACCGTGATGCTACCGCTGTTTCTGGTACTGTCTTTGACTTTGAATCAAACATTAATATTGACTGAGGACAGCCAAACTCAAATCTGACTTTAACTGAAGTTAGTTAGAGTTATTCAGTGGAGAATTGTTCCATTTTAAATGGTAGATTTATCAAATTAGTGCTTACTTAAAAATGTCCTCTGATGTTTTCATAAACATAAACATCAGAGGAGAGACTGGCGGTCGAGCAGTCCATGATTATAGCAATCTGAATCTCTGCAGCACTTTGGTACTTTACTTGTGTCTCTGATGTCTCCGAAGCTGTTTGAATATGAGATATTATTCTTTTTGAAAGATCGTTCTCTGTTTGTTGAGGTCGCTTTAGAGACATAACATAATAAAGACCAAGCAGTAACGTCTGGTGTTGAAAAATGAAGCCAATACAAAAGTGCAACAAAGTGCAGTTCAGCCTGTAAGGTCACCGCCTGTCAAAGCTGAATTTCCTCCTGAAGGTGCAGCACTGTTTTATCTCGGCTCTATAGGACGCAATGAAGGAGTCCCATTAAAGAGCATTTAGTGGGATTCAAACTTGCCTTATGTCAGATGTTTCTCTTAGCAGGATTAGTTTGTGCACTTCACCTCTCTGAATAGGCTCAAGTAAAATGTAAGCAATATAGACAAAAGTATGTGGACATTACAATCCAACCCTGCTTGGAAAATGAGGCCATTGTGGAAGTGCAAAAAAGTTGAGTTCTGCAAATGCCCCGGGATTCCCATTAGCACCCATATCAAAATGTTGATTTTAACAGAAGAAATAAAAAAAATTGGTCTGAATAGAGATTTTTTTTTTTAAACTCATCCATTTTGATTTTATAAAGGATAACAGTTTATGCATAATTAGGGACATCACATAACTGATCTGACTGCTAGCAGGCCGTTATAGCTGTTTGTCAGGAGGCTTAAGAACCGCCTCAGCTTCACTTCTTGGCTTGTTGTTAGGTTGACCAAAAGTTAACTTGAGACAACTTAGCAAAGCGATGGCCATCGATGAGCTTCAAAACTACCCTTCAGAAACCAATGTGTGACATCCATGTTTTATAAACTCTATTGTAGAGGCTTAGCTTTGTTGGGTACATCCACCCTTTGATTCTGAAGATACAGATTTTTATTTTTAAACTTAAAACGGTGATGTAATACATTTTAGACTAATCTCCCTGAATCCCTTTGTGTTCAGATGTATGCTAAACACGATAGACGGGCCCTCGGAGCAGGTGGAGGACTACCTGTGTGACCCGGAGGAGATGCCTCTAGGGGCCAGAAACAGCCGGCTGCCCTGCCCTGAGGACTGTGTGTTATCAGACTGGGAAGCCTGGAGCCCCTGCCCGCTGGTAAAAATCACATACTATCATCTCAATCACTGTGCTTCTCTCAAACAGAGTCTTGTTAGTCCACAGAAGAAGTAACTATTCTACAAACAGTCACAAAAAAAGTATGCAAACTTTCATATCTTACTAAGTGGGTTTGGTGTTTTCTTGTCAAAAAGTAGCATTACGCTTAGTAGGACCCATTTACTTCACAAATCTAATATCAAGATAACAAAGTACATTTTGATTGCTGCACTTGTAACTCAGGCTTTTTTTGCCCGTTATTCTTTAAATAAGATGTTTTTCTGGATGACTATGGCTTATATTAAGTAAAATAAGATGCTTTTGAGCACATTAAATTAGACAAATACACTAGTACACACAGTAAGATAAGTTTGAGTGCATTCTGCATAAACACCAAAACACCCATAGACAAGGAAAAATGTTTGTCATACCAGTTTTAAAATGGTAACCGTCTTCTGCTTTCCAGATGATATGCTCCCTAGAAAAGCATGGACGGACCATTTAAAGTAATACCTGCTCACTTTCATGGCACTAGAAAACACAAATTATTTATACGCTGAAAGTATTGATCCATATCTTGATTATGCAGAGGTTTGGTCTAGAGCATGAGTGGATTGTTGGTGGAGTTTTGTATATCAAATAACAAATCTTCATCATCTGAGGTGGTTTCCAGAAGCAACACCTGTTAACGCGTTGGTTGTTTGGAAAGTGCTTCAAAAACGTTATCGTCTATCCTGCGGAGGTTGAGTTT